GTCCCGTCGTCCATCAAGAGTTTGCGGATGACATTGATCTCGAGGCCTCTGGGAGTTGAGCAGTGGTGCGCACCTCCCTAAGCACCGCCGTCACCAATCTGGTAACTTGGCTTAAGGACCGTGGCTTTAAGCTGAACCAGACTAAGACAGAGGTCTTGCATATAACACCTCGTGGTGGGCGGCAGAGTGCAGAATCGCTCCAGATCCGTTGCGACGGGAAGCTCCTACTGGTTGTGTCACAGGCTCGCTATCTTGGTAGGTATTGTTGATAATGAGCTCTCCTGGGATGGTCGAGTCTCAAATCTTTATTCTCACGATAGCCAGTGGCCAATAAGAGATAATAGTGTAAGAAAGGAGAAAGAGTGAGGAAGAATTGGGTGGGCAGGGCCTAGGGGTTAATGACTACTTAAGTGTACGGGCAGGGGTGGTCGCCACACGAGCATACAGAGTTGCGTACTTAAGTGTACGGGCAGGGGTGGTCGCTACACAAGCATACAGAGTTGTGCAACAGCAGGGATATCTCGGATTTGAAGGGAGTTCGAGAAGGGATTTCGCGAAGCTGGGTGAGCAGGCAATTAAAGTAATGAAGGGCCTTGTACAGGGGAGAATGGAGACAGAGGTCAGTCGGCGGAGTTGGCAAGTGCCAAGTACGAGAGCGACGTAAATTATACGAAGGTTGCACGTTGCTAGCAGTATGCAGCGAGAGTATATGTGGTGGGGCATAATTGTGGCGCAGAGAATGTGCGAAGAGTATATGTTTAACTTTAAAGCGTGAAAATAATGTTGGCCATTTGATGCGATGCAAAAGGTGGGAGTGTTCTAAGTGTGTGTAAAGGGGAAGGTGGAGACATATTCTGGCGGCTTTCCGCTGGAGTCGTTCTAGCCTGTCAAGGGAAGTGTGTGACAACGGTGTGAGAGCATTGCTCGCATATGAGAATATAGGTAGTATGTATGTCTGATAGATGTGAGATAAAGAATCACTGGTGAGTGTAGACCTTAGTCTAAAAAGAATATTGAAAGACTTGAGTGATTTTTTGACTATGTATTCAACATGCTCCGTCCAACGGAGGTCATGCTGAAAGATTATTCCGAGGTGTTTGTGTTTTTGTGCTACGGTAAGCGGACTATTCCTGAGGGTGATCTGGGGTAGCTGTTCAGGGGGGGGGGGGCGAGTTGACCAGACCATTGATTTTGTCAAGTTCGATGCTCTATTGGTGCGCTATGGCGCTAACCGCGAAATTCAGCCATGACACCGTCTGCTGAACCGCCCATTTCTGACCGCAAGCCCACTTTGCCATTCGAAAGTGTTAGTGCTGACCTTTTCAGTGGCCAAGATTGCGAGTATTTGGTATTCATCGACCGTTTAACCGGATGGTCATGCCTGGCCAAGGTTGGTCACTCAGCCACGTCAGCTGACGCCATCCATCATTTCTGCAGGTGGTTCCCAGATGTAGGCGTACGACAGGTAATTTGAACGGATGGCGGTCCTCAGTTTGCATCTCACAGATTTGCCGAATTTTGCGAGCGCTGGGGAATCCGTCATATCAAGTCGTCACCTCACTACCCGTAGTCGAGCGGACATGCGGAAGCAGCCGTGAAGGCAATGAAGTACCTGGTGGAAAAGACTACCAATGACGGTATTCTAGACACCGACGCTTTTCAGCCTGGCCTTCTCGAGTGGCGCAATACTCCTGGAACTTCGGAAAGGAGTCCTTCCCAGTTACTGTATGGTCGCCCACTTGTCTCCTTCGTTCCCGCCCAATGGAGCCAGTTCAACTCCCACTGGCAAGACACCGCATCTGACATGGATGATGTTGATCGAGTAGACCAGTCTCCCAGTCAGCCTCACCGAGAACTTCCCCACTTGTCTATCGGGACGCACGTTGACATTCAACACCCGAAGACAAAACGGTGGTCTTCCCGCTGCATTGTCGTGGCTATCGGTGACCACCGCGACTACTACGTCAAGCTACCGAGTGAACGCGTATATTGGTGCAACCGTCGCTACTTCCGCGCGTACCGCCCTCCTACTCCAGTTTCAGCAGCCACGCCTATATCCTCTAATGTACCCGACGCTGCACCACAAGCAGTCCCTGTGACTCAGTCGTCGCCACAGTCAACTGTTCAGGTACCACGTTGCACAAGCCAATGTCCCCGGCGACAGAATGTCCCCTTTAACATTATTTCAACGCGTGGGCAATCGTACAATTAACACTCGCTTTGTTCAGTTGGTGATTTGCATTGTACCTATTCAATTGTCATTCCCATTGTCTCGCAGTGGAAAACCTTCAAGTATATAATTGTGCAATTATCCTTTTTACAAGTCTGTTGGAAGTTGCTGATGCTCCGCGACATGTCATTTGCTAAGCACATGCAATTTCCACATCATTTTTTGCTGATTAGATAAACACTTGTACGTTTTTTTATTGTAGGAGGGGCATGATGTATATGGCATACTTCCATATATGGTGCAACTCCTGCATCCCGTATGCACGCGCCTAGAGCTTCCGCTTCCATATCCGCTCGTACGCACTTTCCTTTTGTGTTCGTACACAATTCCCTTTTGTGTTTGCACACTGCTTTGGAATGTTGTTCTTTGTTTGTTGTCCTACTTGCTAGTTGTGAATAAACTCTGTCTGACACCACAACCACACTTCTGGACCAGCTCCCCGGCGTGTTCGTCTACATGGACGATATCATTGTCTCTGGCCGTACACGAGAAGAACACGACCGTAACCTAGCTGCCGTACTAGACATCCTGCAGAAAGCCAATGTCACGCTGAACATGAAGAAATGTCACAAGCGTCAGGCCGAAGTGAAGTTCCTTGGTCACATCTTCTTCGCCAAAGGTCTCCACCCTGACCCAGCGAGAGTGTCCAGCATCGCTAATCTGAAGCCGCCCAAGAACGTCAGTGCATTCTCGGCATGTTCGCGTTCATGTCATGCTTCATTCCCAATCTCTCGGAAGTTAGCGCTCCACTGCGTCTTCTACTGGATCATGACACTGCATGGGAGTGGTCTGCTACACAACAACAGGCCCTGGACAAGCTCAAACAGCTTGCCACCAATGCGCCCTGCCTCACGTTCTTCGACCCAACCAAGCCCGCGGTCATTAATGCTGATGCCAGCAGTTACGGCTTGGGGGCTGTCCAATTGCAGGAGCATGATGACGGAATGCGCCCAATTGCATTTGCCTCACGCAGCCTCGCCACTACTGAGCAAAAGTACGCGCATGTCGAGAAGGAGTGCTTGGCTGTTGCCGGGGTTTGTGAGCGATTCCACGGCTACATTAATGGCAACCCGTCCCTCTCTGTCCTAGTCTCCAAGACGAGATCAGCATCAACCTCACATCTTACATTGGTGAGATCGTGTCGGATGATAAAGCCCGTGACATTGCTGACGCCACCACACAAGATGAGACGCTCAAGCATGTCCTCCACTTCGTCCAACACGGATGGTCGTGCAACCTACGTGATGTCGACGACACTGTGTGCCCCCACTTCCATGAACGCCACTTACTGTCCTGTGAGCAAGGTGTGCTGTACCATGCATTGTCATGCCACCCTCTGGCCAGATTTCCCTAGAATTCTGGACTCGGAGACCCAGTCCCAGGAGCAGCAGAAGTTCCACTATGACCAACGGCATGCAGCTAATCCTCTTGCGACTCTACAGCTTCATGACCGTGTATTCGTCACCGATCTCGAACGGGAGGGCAAGATAGTAGAGCAAGTGTCCAATCGTTCTTACCTCGTTGAGTCTGGTCACTCTGCTGTTCGCCGCAATCGTCGTCACTTGATCCGACTGCCACTTCCAGAAGCAGAGAAGCCGACAGTCGAGGTTGAGTACGGTGGCACAGCAGCTGATCCAGTCCGTCACTCTGCTAGAGCTCCTCAGCCTGTCAACCGCCTCATTGAATCATGCTAATTCAACAACGTGCCGAGACATATCTGCCGTCGTCTCTGCACATCACTCATTCCCTGTTACTTGCTCTGCAAACAATACTAGTGCACACACTTCCACCATGTCCACACATCCCACAGAAAGCAGCAGCACATAGCATAACGGGGGAGCTAGCTCGCACTGTACCGACTCCGCGCTGAAAGCGGCCGAAAGTTTGAACCACGCAAGCGCCGTATCCAAAACGGCTTCTGACGGTACGGACACCACGCCGCAAGCAGTCCTGCACCCCAGCTCGAACCCAAGCGACCCAGTCAGCGATCTCGACCTTACATCGTCGATGTCGGCAACCAGCACGACAGTGCACCCCGGAACCCCACCAGGCAGCATAGGTACAGGTACGACAACTTTCAACTCACTGCACACCGACACAACTACTCCCACCGAAACATGCAATCACTCAGATTCGGCGCGTGCTGAAGACCTTCTCTCCTCACTGGTGACTAACACAGCGATGTCTAATAGGACAGCAAACCCTTGGATTACCTCAGAACGACGCAGGACAGCCAGTCCCAATGTGGAATCCTCACCTGATTTCAAAAATTTAAAAAACAAACAAAAAGAGAGCAACAACATCGACCCTGCCCACAGCCAACCAAATACCCCAGCACATGGCTCATGCTTCAGCCCACTGGCATCACAGGATACTCAATCATAGCCTACAGTAACGATGTTCTCCACACAATATATTCGTGTACATAACTATTTTTGTAAACATTCATGTTCTTCCTGTTTTCTCCTTCTCACCCTTCTTTTCTTCTTCTTATACCCTTATTATAATGCTTTTCTCGTTTTATTATTAATGCCCGAAGCTTGCTAAATAAGTTCGAGAGTTTTCTCTTCGATATACATACTTCGATCGCGAAATTCGAGTAAGAATTGGCTGAATTACGATTGTTGGAGCATGCGTGCCTCCGTAAAAATTTCGTCAGTATGCGATGAACACTCAGGACGTAAATATACGTCCTTACAAAATATAGTGGACGGGCAGCTGTCTAAAACATAGTGGCTATATTCAGCACTACACAACACAGTTCACTTACAGATCCTCTATCTGCCAGACCTGCTTGGTAAACATTTCATCTGGTAGGGTTGTCAGGAGATTGTTAAACAATGATCTGCAACACCAGGAAGTGGTACACAGAATGTAAGGATACTTGGGTCAACTGAACAGAATGCCTCGGATACCGTAAAGTACCACGAGAGCGCCCCGCCATGTCGTCCTTCCGTGGCCGTCTTGTGGAGGTGGTGTCCTGTCTGTAGGTCATTATAGCAATAAAAACTGCTTTATTGCAGCTGAAAATACAAATACAAAAGTGCCGCAGGATCTCTCTCTCTCTCTCTCTCTCTCTCTCTCTCTCTCTCTCTCTCTCTCTCTCTCTCTCTCTCTAACTCTCTCTCTGTTTTTGGTGGACAAAAATATCTCTGGCGTTGATTGCTTTCTTGCTTCGACTTCTGCCGCGCCTTTGTTCTCGTACTCCCCTTTATGTACAAGTGTTGTGCAGACCCTCCTTTAATATAGTCTGTCTCATTTTGTCCTGAGATGTTTTGATGCATAGTGATTATGACGCTCATCATTCGCTCCCTTGTCACTGGACAGTTCTGTCCGTTTGGTTTTAGCGAATTCAAATAAAGAAAACAACAACACAGCAGCAGCCAAGAGTGTGCAAATACTAAAAAGGAAGATACTGATATTGATATTGATATTGCAGATATTGCTGAGGGAACATATGCTGGTTTGTATTCGTGGGTCCCCATGGTACATGGGCCACGCGTACTCATCCGGCGGATATGTGTGAATAATAATAATAATAATAATACCGTGCAGAGAACAAGGGTATACAAGTAAGAACTACGCGTGACAAGTGTGTATCAGCAACAAAAAAAGTGAGAACGAATGATAATAATAAAAATAACAAACAAGAAGGTGACAAACCACATAATAATAATAATAATAATAATTCAGAACTAAATATTGCAACATCATAATAATAAACGACATACATGTACTGTCCATTGGCATCAGTATTCCGAGTAAGATTTTCGTCGCTTGTGTGGTGTGTTTCTCCACCAATGAGCGTGTACTATGATTATTTATCGCTGTTCTCACACTTTACCATTTTAGCAGCTTGCATATGCCATTGATATTATGTGGAAAGCGCGCACTTGCGCCATTTCTGGTGTATAAGAATGATCATTCCTCCATTATCATCATTATCATCCTCTACTGATGAGCTCCGACAGGGAGCGAAACAGCTGTCTAGAGGCGTGGAGCAATATTATCTCTCAACGGAAGTGTCCTTGCTGGTGTCTGTATGGTTCGGCTGAAGAGCGCGTGGTTGTGATGAGTTGGGAATGCAATGAATAATAATAATAATAATTTTTTAAAAGAGGTCGGAGGCGGATAATACTTTAAAACGAAGGTAAGTTATGGGTCGCAAATATCCACGCAAACACACATCCAGTCATAATAAGGCACTTGTCATAAGTATCCGAACGTCTACGGTCCCTTCTCATCAAGGATTATACAGGGAATGGCTCAAGCTGGAAAGACTAAAGCGTAAAGATAATTAGATAACAACACTCGTGACAAGGTGGAAAATTATCAAGTTTAGCACGACACAAAACTCGAAGGAAAATAATAATAGTGACAACAACATAGTGAGCAAATTAAGTTACATTGTTACCACCTCGACGAGGAGTAACACCAAACAATTGTAGCGACAACACATTTTCTTTCTGTACGCAAAGTTCAGGATATAACTTACGGATATACAAAGCTTCTAACACAGCCAAATGTAACGCACATCTACCACGTGACAATATTGAGAAAACATTATCACTGTACAACTCACGACAATTGGTATGGGCTGACAGATGTTGCTTGATTGACGAAGTGCGATTCTTAGCTCCATTGGGTGTTGTCTCCTCCAATGTCCCGTCATCTCGCCTCTTCGTGGCATCACCACTATCTGTCTCTTCGCGTTTCCGCGGCCTTCCACGTTTCTTGACACTAACCGTTGGGTGCGCGATACCCGGTGTCCTTTCCGTTACGTCTCCTCCATTGCGGATTTCTATTGAGCTTCTTACTCCAACTTGTCCGGTGTCCGATATTGAGGTTAGTTTTCGCGGTCTACCACGTTTTCGAATATTGACTGTTGTTGTCACTTCCGTTGTCGTTGTACGTTCGTCCTCATCAGTCCGTATTTTCACTTGGCTTCTCGTCACCCTTTCCGACGCCGACAGATCCTTTGTCAGTTTCGGTGGTTTACGTGTGGGTCCTTCACCATCTTTTATGCTGTTCTCAGCTGGCCCGTGTCCTACACACGCAGAGGAGGACGGGCATGCAGTCACATCTTCACGGGAAGAAGAAGATCCACCGATGGACTGGACAGCACATTTTGGAGGACGACCACGGCGAGGACGACAATCGCGCGCATCAAGCGGAACACAACTTAACGACACCTGAACTTTGCGTACAGAAAGAAAATGTGTTGTCGCTACAATTGTTTGGTGTTACTCCTCGTCGAGGTGGTAACAATGTAACTTAATTTGCTCACTATGTTGTTGTCACTATTATTATTTTCCTTCGAGTTTTGTGTCGTGCTAAACTTGATAATTTTCCACCTTGTCACGAGTGTTGTTATCTAATTATCTTTACGCTATATAAGTTTTAGTCTTTCCAGCTTGAGCCATTCCCTGTATAATCCTTGATGAGAAGGGACCGAAAACGTTCGGATACTTATGACAAGTGCCTTATTATGACTGGATGTGTGTTTGCGTGGATATTTGCGACCCATAACTTACCTTCGTTTTAAAATAATAATAATAATAATAATAATAATAATACGAAGTAGTGGTTGCGACTTCGGCGATGAATTGTCAGAAAGGTTTGCTCCCCACACCGGAGCTCGCGCTATTCCGCCGACTTTACTTGACACTTGACTGACTCACGACTGCCATCCAGAGCACACGAGAAGTCCATCGAACCTTCGACTCGGCAAACCTGTAAGAAAGCACCACTCCCTGCTCAATACACAGTGTTTCGGGGAATTCACCCCTCATCAGTTGAGCTTGAGTAGGCACAATCTTCCTCAGCCTACTCAAGCTCAACTGATGAGGGGTGAATTCCCCGAAACACTGTGTATTGAGCAGGGAGTGGTGCTTTCTTACAGGTTTGCCGAGTCGAAGGTTCGATGGACTTCTCGTGTGCTCTGGATGGCAGTCGTGAGTCAGTCAAGTGTCAAGTAAAGTCGGCGGAATAGCGCGAGCTCCGGTGTGGGGAGCAAACCTTTCTAATAATAATAATAATAATTTTAATATGGCAATAAGTAGGACGAGCTGAAGCGACATGTGGACTACTTTATTAACAATGTAAGCGATGGAGACGATGCAAGAAACAACCTAAAGGGTAAGGAAAAATACATGTAAGAAGAAAAAGGGCAATGGAAAAAAAAAGATGATTCGAACAAGTTTTCGTACAACACTCTTCAGGAATCACCGTTGTACTAAAGAACAAAATGAGAACAAAGGAAATAATATAGCAATCAAGGTAGGGTGACACGATACAATGACAGCACTAGAATATCGAGGTGCGATTTCTCACAAAAGTGTGCAGAAAACAAGGGTATACAAGTAAGAACTAAGCGTGACAAGTGTGTATCAGCAACAAAAACAAAAAAGTGAGAACGAATGATAATAATAACAATAATAAACAAGAAGGTGACAAAACACATTTAGGCACAAGTGGCAACAACGTTGCCACACTACACAACAGAACATTATTTGAACAATTTTAAGGTAATAACACTATCTTTCTGGACACACAAATTCGGCTTATGAATGCGCTGACAAACAGCTTCCAAAACTTGTAACTGCAAAAGATAACCATGACGAGCACGGCACAAAACAGAAAAACAGGAATCAGAATAAGTACGACAACAGTCAGTACTAGAAACCAAATGATTGTATACTGAAGACTTGTTATTACGAGACGGACGCACACAATCTCGACTCACGCGCACACCCTCACACTCACTCTCACCCTCACTCAGCTCACCTTCTCCCTCACTGTCCGAATCAGAACCTGCTCCGTCATCCACCGCGGTTTGACTCTCCTCCTCACTTGCATCGTCCTGCGTCTCACCTTCACCACCCACGCCAACCCTGAATGCCGTTGCCTTCACGTCAGTCGTCGTCCTTTCCGATTGTTTCCTTTGTATTTTTACCGTGAATTCATAGGTCCGGTTGTAATCTGCTGTAGATCTCCGTGGTCTGTCATTTGCTGCTTTGTTTTGTGGATTAGTTGTTGTTGTTGTTGGATGTGAACCTGGTGTTGTTGTTGGATGTGCAGCTGGTGTTGTTGTTGCAGCCATGGTTGTTGGTCTTTCTGTTGGATCCAGCTCTGGTTCCGGTGGGACAAATCGACCGCCGCGGGTGCTCCCCACCAACACAGACCTCGAAGGAGGAGGGTCAGGGGGAGGCAGAGGTGCTGTCACCACTCGAGGCACAGCCCCATGCAAAGCACCCAGAGGCACAGACTTAGGCACACCCGAGGGCTGCACCAATGGCGGTTCCGCACGCACCTCCAAAGAGCTGCCAAGCTCCAGCCCGTCCAACACAGATGTCAGAGGGGGAGCGGCAGACAGCGGCAGGGAACTATCCTGCCGTCTAGGTGATGGGTTTTTCCTAGGCCTCCCGCGTTTGGGCCTCTCAGATTGCGCACTGGGTGGAAGGATGTGAAGTGGAGTGTGTTGTTTGATACGTGCGTTCAGGTGCTGAACAGTCCTACCAACATACCGACTAGCACAATGTCGGCATTCGAAGTTGTAGATAACATGACTGAGGTGGAGGGTTGGTAGGACGTCCTTCCGCACCGTGAACGCACGCATTGTTGTGAAGACTGGCACAAAATGTACTGCATAATAAGTACGACGGACGATAGACTTGACTGCGTGACACACTTTGATCGATTCCTGCCCCTTCCATGGCAAACATAGATAGACGGGACAGCGAGGTGGACCAATCAGCACCGATTTCGGTTTCTGCTCCATGGACAGAAACTTACGCAACAAGAATTCCGGATAGCCATTCTTCAAGAAAACAGATCGAAGGAAAT